ACCACCACCACCACCACCACCACCACCAGCACCAGCAGCAGCACCAGCAGCAGCAGCAGCAGCAGCAGCACCACCAGCAGCAGCAGCAGCAGCAGCAGCAGCAGGAGCAGCAGGTATGAGCGAGGAGTTTGTATCATACTTCTGGCCCCGCGTGGTATCTCCACCAATAAAGTGCAACAAACATATACTAATAGATATTTGTAGTTTTCCGCATAGATTTGAGAGAATAGCAATAAGTAAATATATGTTGCATGCAGCGGGATATAAAACAGCAAAAAAAACTGCTTGGGGGGACCTGTGGAGACACCCCAGAAAGATAGTAAGACCAGCAGCAAGAGGATATGCTATAGAGGAGCTGCAGCAGGCTGCTGATAATAAATATAAATATAAATATAAATATAAATATAATTATAATGGTGGTGATGGGGGGGTTTATTCTTTTTCTTTTGGTAGTAATAGTAGTAAAAAAAAATATAATAAAAATATAAACAGTTTTATTGAAAATGATAAACAAACACAAAAACAAGAAGATAAACAAATGCTGGAGGAGACGCTCGCTACTTACTGCGGACATTAACACTTTTTCTTTTTTTTATTTTTTTTTTTTCTTTTTTTTTTCTTTTTTTCTTTTTTTTCTTTTTTTCTTTTTCTTTTTCTTTTTTTCTTTTTTTTCTTTTTTTCTTTTTTTTTCTTTTTTTTTCTTTTTTTTATTTTGGGTTTTGTTTTCATTGTACACTTGCTCTATGTCATTCATTCTATTGTTTATTATATATATATATATATATATATATACATATATATATATATATATATATATATTTATATAGGAGAAAACAAATTGCTTCTCTTTGGCGTCGTTCGGTTGTTGGGGTGTACATACACCGCAAGAGATACAGGGAGAGGGGAACCCCTGCATTGACTCTATTTATTTTATTTTATTTTATTTTATTTTATTTTATTTTATTTTGTCTTTTATTATTAGTCTTATATAAAGATATATATACGGAATGTTTATACGCGTTGAGATAGCAGAGGCCACGACTAGCTAGCTACAGCTAGCTAGCTGCAGCTAGCTAGATACAGCTAGCTAGCTAGATACAGCTAGCTAGCCAGATACAGCTAGCTAGATACAGCTAGCTAGCTAGCTACAGCTAGCTAGCTAGCTGCAGCAGCATTTGTAGATGTTGATCATATATCCATCCAAAGAGAAAAAAATTTAAAGAAGAACAGCCAGTTGTTGTTTTTATATTTTTGTTTTTTATTTTTTTGTTTTTTTTTGTTTTGTTGTTGTTATTATGTTATTATAATAACATAAACTTATAATTATGTGTAATAATAATAATAACATATAATATGTTGTTGTTATATATTATTATTTTATTTTGTATGTTATTTAATGCTTTTATTATATATTGTTTTTATTATATATTGTTTTTATTATATATTTTTATTATTATATATTTTTATTGTTATATATTTTTATTATTATATATTTTTATTATTATATGTTGCTGTTAGTAGATGTTGCTACTATTATTTCTTTTCTTACTGTATATTTTTATTATTAAAATTTTTATTATTATATATTGTTAGTATAATTCTGTATTGTTATTATATGCTTTTACTATTATATTTTGTTTTTATTATAAAATATAATCTATTTTATTTTGATGGTATTGTTAAGATGCGGTGTTTTTTATTTCTTTTTTTGCATGCTGAAAGTAGAATATAAATATAAATATATGTAGATGAATGAGGGTTTGTTTTGGGTGTATATACACCTGAAAATAAATAAATTGCTGCTCTTTAGGACACCGTTGATGATACAGAAATAAAATACATGTTACTGTTCATATAGTAGTAGAGAAAAAAGAAAAGAGGGGAGGAATAAAGAATATGCAGCGTGTTTTATTTTATTTTGTTTTATTTTATTTTATTTTATTTTGTTTTATTTTATTTTAATTTATTTTATTTTATTTATTTAGTTGCGCCGCCTTTCATCTCTATATCAGAGATAACAGAACCCTCGCTCGCACTAAGTTGCAGTGTATACAGCATAAACGTGATTTGTATTTAATTTTTGAATGCATGCAAATTAAAATAAAAAGAATCTGAGAAACAACCGAAGAAAATTCATATTTTTATTTCTTAAACAAAGAAGGCGGTATATGTATAAGCTGGGTGTTGCGTGCAGCAGTTGGGGTGTACGTACACCGCAATACCTGGTTTGACTCTGTGCAGAAAAGGAGTGAAACGAGGCTAAAAAAAAGGTAAATTTTGTGAAAAAAATTGTTTTTTTAATGTTTTTTAAATATTTAAAGTATTTAATTGAATCAAATGACTCTTTTAGCTGCCGCATGCACGCAGATCGGCTGCTGTTTCTGTCTGTGTGATACATACATACATAGAGAGAGGAGCCCAGCGATGAAACGGGTGTCGTGTTTCGAGTGTTTTTATGATTCTTCTTGAAAAATAATTCATGAAACATCTTTTTCTCGTCTTATAATACCTATTGAGCTTTATTTATTTCAGCTTTCCCGTTTTTTTCTGTTTCTGAATTCCGCCGTGTTTCAGAGCTCCCGCGCCCCCAGCAAGGAAACATAGATTTCTTTGTGAGAAAATTTTTTATAATTTCTGTTGCAATGGCAGTATTTCACCGCGAGGTGGCGAAATACTTCGCCCGATACGCCGCATCAACAGCACTAGCCCCCACCAGCAGCAGCTGCAGCAGCAGCAGCAGCAGCAGCAGCAGCTTGCTGTGCTATACACCAGCAGCTAAGCCCCCCTCACGGCTCCGCTCTCTCCTAGAAGACGCTTTGGCTCCTCTTTGGTACCGCTTCTTCAGGGGGCCCCTCGATAGGTGGAACCAAGCCGCTATAGGCAAATACCTTAGAGAACACGGTAACCTATATTTTATATAGTTTATGTTTTATACTATGTATTATATATTATATATTATATATTACATATTATATTATATATATATATATATATATATATATATATACAGAGAGAGAGAGGGAGAGAAAGAGAGATATATGTACAATATATATAATATATATAGTATACAGTATAGAGTATGCATATTATATTATAGATCTATAGTTTTAGTGTGTATTATATATATATATATATATATATGTATATATATATATATATAGAACAGAGAAAGAGAGAGAAAGAGAGAGAAAGAAGGATGTAGGATTAGAGCGCTTCAATTGACGTATTTGTTGTTTCGGGATTCTTTTTATTATAATTTTATTTTTTTATCTTTCAGCTGTATGTACACCGCAATTGTGTTTTGTTATTATTTTCGTTGTTATTTTTGTTTTGCTTTTTTATTTTTATTTTTATTTTTGTTTTTGTTTTTGTACTTTTATTATTAAAAAAACAAAATTTACTTTTTGTTTATTATTTCCTCGTTGTTTATTATTTATTTGTTGTTTTGTTGCGTTTAGTTTTTCTTTATTTGTTTATTTTTTTATTTTTTATTTGTTTGTTGTTTTTTATTTATTTATTTTATTTATTTTATGTTAAATGTATAGCGATATGCATTATAATAAATAGCGTAATTAATTTTTATTTATTTTTATTTATTATTTATTCATCTATTTATATTTATTTATATTTATTTATATTTATTTATATTTATTTATATTTATTTATTTATATTTATTTTTATTTGTTTAGGGTTAATGTATGACGACTTATACTCTAAAGAGACAAAAAAAACCAAAAACTAAATCATTTTTAGTTCTTTTTTTTCCGTTTTTTCACAAATAAATTTATTTATATATTTATATATTTATTTATTTATTTATTTATTTATTTATTTATTTGTTTAGGGTTAATGTACGATGACCTATACTCTGACAAAGAGCCGCTTATAGAGAGAGCCTTAGAGCTTCTCCCTGAAGACCTAGCAACAGCTCGCTATAGAAGGATTATGCGTGCAACACACCTCAATCATATTCGTCTTTATCTCCCCCCAAACGGTATTTATTTATTTATTTATTTATTTATTTTGTTTGTTTGTTTATTTATTTTATTTATTTTATTTATTTTCTCTTTTTCTGCGTTTTTTTCGTTTCTTTAATCGCTATAGAAGGGCAATCATATTCCTCTGTATATTTAAATATATTTATATAAACATTTAAATAAATAAATATATAAATGTATTTATAAATATATTTATATAAATATATTGAGCTGTATGTACACCGCAGAGCAAAACTACGACCCCTTCATTCCCTATTTGTCCTGTATTCCTCTCTCTATATATATTTATATAAATATTTAAATTAATATATATTTATAAATATATTTATATATTGAGGTGTATGTACACCGCAGAACAAAACTACGACCCCTTCATTCCTTATTTGTCCTGTACTATCTATATATAAATACATAGATAGAAATATATATATTTATATAAACATTTAAATATATATTTATATATATATTGAGGTGTATGTACACCGCAGAACAAAACTACGACCCCTTTATTCCTTATTTGGCGCCTTTTGTGGAGGAGGCGAAATTTCAGCTGCAAGAAGAAGAAGAGCTTCTCGGCTATCATATGTGGGATCGAAGACTATATTCAGGTTTGTTTTTTTCTTTTTATTTTGTTTGTTTTGTTTGTTTTATTTGTTTTGTTTTATTTGTTTTGTTTGTTTTTTTTGGTTTGTTTTTTGTTTTTTTTTTCTGCGTTTGTTGCGGTTTAAATGGTGGTTTTATTACTTTCTTATGTGGGATCGAAGACTATATTCAGGTTTGTTTTTTTCTTTTTATTTTATTTATTTTATTTGTTTTATTTATTTTATTTATTTTATTTATTTATTTTGTTTGTTTGCTTTTTGTTTTTTTTGTTTCTGCGTTTGTTGCGGTTTAAATGGTGTTTGTATTGCTCTTTTATGTGGGACTGAAGACTCCACTCAGGTTTGTTTTCTTTTTATTTATTTATTTTACTTATTTATATTTATTTATATTTATATTTATTTATTTATTTAATTTATCTATTTATTTTATTTATTTATTTATTTATTTCTTCTTCTCTTTAACGTCAAATCAAATCGTTCTTTTTCCCGTATTCTGTATCAACCCACAACAAATACAAATTTATTTTTATTTATTTATTTATTTATTTATTTATTTATTTTATTTTATTTTATTTTATTTTTTTTTGTTTAGGGGGCTGCACTGGGTTTGGTGATACGGAGCCCGGGATGCACTTTTTGGTGTCTTTTCCGAATATGTATGGGGGGGGCAGCGGCCCGCATAACAAAGCTCACATATCTTCTTTATGTATAAATAGAAAATAAATATATATTTATATTTATTTATATTTTATTCTTATAAAAAAAAATATTATATATTTAAACTCTATACACATACAGCTACACAACAAGGGGTCTATCTCTAT